AACGTAGCAATGGAATCGTTTCGAATTTGTTTGCAAACCGTTTTGACGATTTAAAATTCATTTGTAAGAGGATTATGGTTATTTAGAATTGGTTGATTTGAAATACCTACTAATATGAAAAGAATGATTGACTTATTTGATGATTAGAACTGACATTTTTAATCGTGATGATGAATTCGTGCTCTACGGTGAAAGAGTTACGAGGAACAAGTGCGATAAGGTGATTTTTAGGTGGAGGTTTTGTTTCACTCTGATCTTCTTTGAGGTGATGATTGATCTTTGGAAGAAGAATAGGTAAATCAACGAGAAGATCGATATCGAAACCACATTCCTTCATTTTCTCTGTCATAAAAATTCACAACTTTGTTATTGCGCCAGTTTTCACCCTTAGAAATTGCGATTCATCTTTAACGCCCAAATCCTCAATTTCAAAGTCTCGAGAATTGCATTATTACCACTCTGATGAAACGCCAATATCTGGCGTTTATTAATTATTAATATCTTTTATCTTTATTTGTATCTTATTAATCGTTTGGTGCCATAGAGCGTTCAAAATCTTGCTTACCGCCTTCGGATATAATTAATGAGCATAATTAATGAATTATCGGAGTTCGAATTCTGTATCTAGCCGTGATAAAGGGCAATAATTTACTCGATTGTTTTGACACTTTTTAAGACAAGATGCAATTAAAAGTGATAAATGAACGAATCAAGGTCTAAACTACTGTACCAAGGATTTTTAGTCGTACTGAAGTTTCCATTAACTACGTTATTTATTTCTATTAGAATTTGGTAATTTTGTATTTCAATATAACACGATATATTAATTAATTAAAATTTGATTACAGTGCAAAAGAAATTTTTACAAAAGAAGCTGATAATTTAATGCTGAAACTGTTAAAATGTTAATTATAGCACAGAAGATTTATATTCGCAGTGAAATTCTCTATATTCTCCGTATTAAACTGTATTTCTTAATTTTCGTCTTTAAGGAAAGAAAATTACTCGAAGATTAATTACGCCGGGAAGAAATTTATATCCAAGCTAAAATTCTCCTAGTAGTTTCATCTAATTTTGTAAATCTGATGGTACTCTTGTATTATACATTCTGTCCCCCAATATTTTCCTCCGATGTAATATTTTTCGCTGTTCCATTATGCGTGTCGGTAATTTCTAATATAAATTTCCTAATTTCTTTACATCGAAACTATTCAACATAAAGATGTAATTTATATTGAAAAAATTACACAAACCCGAGCATCACAAAAATATGAAACTTGTCTAAATTTAGAAAAATATACAGGGTGACGCAAGGAAATCTGTCTCCAAACGCAAAACACAATTCTGAAGTTATATTTGGTGCAAAAATAAAAATACAGATAAACGTGTAAATGGTTAAAATTGAGACCTGTTTTTAAGTTAAAAGTATCATTTATTTACCACAAAAATTGTAACTCAAATGCACCTACGTCACTTCATTACCAAATAAAACTGTAAAATTCTATTTTACGTTTGACTCTGATTGAGTATATTTAATCCGAGTATATCGCAAATCGACATTTCATCTTACATTCGTCAGAAAAGCTTTTCAATCCCTGTTGAAAATAATTTAGAAAATGCGACAATTTAGTGTCACGCGGTTAAACAGCGTAGAGCGATGAATAATGATAAGAATAACGCTTCTTAAAAATTAACCGCGACAACTTTCTCATTACTCGTGCAAATTTTTCATACGAATCGACTTCTTTGATCAAGCGATCGGACTTCGTACACTATAACTGCACCGCGTGCAGTGCAAAAATATTGAAGGAATGCATTCTTGCTGCAGACTGTCCTTCGGCCTCGAGTCCTTCGTTCGTTCAGGGTTGGTAAGTCGTTTAACACTTACGTACGCACGGCTTTGTTTAAAGGACAACGAAATGCTGGGCGAAAGGAGAAATGGCGCCTGAAGAATTGTGGGAAAAAAGTGACAATTTTGCGCGACAGACGTAAGAACAATCGAAACGGCGTTGTAAATTGCGCCGATTTTTAAGCAAATTTGAAGTTACAGAGGAATTGAAAAATTTCGGAGAATTTTCGAAATTGCCCCACCTCCTCTACTGTCGTATTCGCCTAATAAAGAAGCCACAATTTGTGTGACAACGTCTCGTTCGAAATTCTGAGGAACTGTTGTACATTGTGACCTTAAAAGTGGCAATAAAAATTGGAAATTTGAGCTGCTGAATGCTTCACTTTTCAAAAAATCGTTAAATTCAATAAATGCTTGTTAATCAATTTGTTTCGAATTTAACGTGAACTAATGTAAAAAACGTAACGTGAAAAAATATAAATATTATTTTTATAAATATTATGTCGCAAAAATTTAATATTAGCATTCCAAGGTTAATTGATGAATCTGTTGAATTACAAATAGACGAATTAAAAACAGTTTTATGCCTGAATTAAGAAGTGTCGTTAAAACAGTTTTATGCCTAAATTAGGAAATGTCATTTTACTGGTATTGTTATTAAGTTTCATTCCAATAGATTTACAGCTCATATTTGCAATAATCAAGGAACCTGTATTTGTGAAATAAGAAGCGAAAAGGTAAATACTGACGATTGAAAAATATTGATTACCTTTGATAATTTTCAGGTAAGGACGAGGATAAGAGACAGACCTAGAAGAAAGTCTAGGAATGCAATTATGGCATTAGGCAACTGTTCAGCACGAGTAATATTATTTCCCATATGTAATTATGAAGAAAAGTGTCTCGGATGTAACTTCCTCTGTGTTGTGATGCAACCTGCTTCTCACATCGTGTACGAGTCTCACGTGATTTCTCAGCTTTATGACTGCCAGAAATGCAGTTGCTCATTGCTTTCCCATTGCTCTTTGCTCGTAAATTGGACGATGTCTTAAGTCTTTTGGGTTAGAGGATAATGATGGTAAAAAATTTGACAGAGTGTACCTTTGCTTTCGTACACGCCTGTAAGAATGGTTCTAGAATTGTACACCTGAGGAATTTCACAACATTGACCTTGTATAATTGAGACTTTTTAGAAAAATGATAGAAACTGTTTTATTCCAATAATTGCTGCCTTCGAAAAATCAGAGAAAAATGTATCGGTGATCCATAAGTAGTTTTATTATTTCAAAATTGAATTGCGAAATTTTTCTCTGTCGTAGTTCAACAATTTTAGAATTGCGATGTAATATCGTGGATATTTCCAATAATCTTCCCTCTGTCAATTATAATCTGATTTCTTGCTCAACGATTCCACACCTCAGTGACCTTATAAATCTGCGAACCCACAATTCTACACACTTTTAATCCCACACCCTAATAATTTCATACTTCTGCACTATACTTTTTCTTCCCACCTATTAAACACTTCAATTCCTCTAACTCCGCCTATCTAATTTCGTTTCAAGGTAGCACGGTGTTTTTATCTTGTTCATCTGTACCTCTAATTTACAAGCAGCACATTTAACCTGTCAATTCAATCTAAATCCTTTTTTTTTTTTCAAATTTATAAACTATAATTGGAGCTATTCGAATTTATAGTTGAATTCTGATTTGTTGTGGTATTAGTGCAGTTGTACATAATTCTGTGCAATCTCATAAAATATAGTAAGAATTGAAAAATTTCGATTTGGTGGGGTTACAATTCTACAATTTCACGAGTTAATATGTTTATAATTTCAATTTTGATTTAAACAATCCATAATTTCTGATCTAAACTTATAGCTTCTAGACTGAACCAGTCTATGTAAATTTCATTCTTTACTAGTTTCCAGTCATTCTGAATAGAATTGTGTGAAATTACAATTCAAGTTCAACTCAAACTACTTCTACTTCCATTTTAATCCAATTGCACCTTACTGTAATACAGATCGAGTCTAATCCAATACTAATTCAAAATAATAACTGAAAAATTTTACAATCTCGAGAGTTTACAAATTTAACAATTCCGTAATTTAATACTTTCATAATTTCTCAATTCTTCAATTCGCAATTTTAACCCAATGATTCCAATTTGACAGTCCTGAAACTCCACAATTCTACAATTCAAAAATTCGAAATTTCATTCCAATTGAACAGCCTTTCAGTTCCATCATTCACTAATCGAAAACTCTTTCAATTCCCCAATTCTCAATTTTAACCCAATGATTCCAATTTGACAGTCCTGCAACTCCACAATTCTACAATTCAAAAATTCTAAATTTTATTCCAATTGAACAGCCTTTCAATTCCATCATTCACCAATCCAAAACTCTTTCAATTCCCCAATTCTCAATTTTAACCCAATGATTCCAATTTGACAGTCCTGCAATTCCACAATTCTACAATTCAAAAATTCTAAATTTTATTCCAATCGAACAACCTTTCAATTCCATCATTCACTAATCCAAAACTCTTTCAATTCCCCATTTCTCAATTTGAACCCAATGATTCCAATTTGACAATCCTCCAACTCCACAATTCCACAATTCATTTCCAATCTCGCTCCAATGAAATACTTTTCCATCTCCGCACATCCACAATCCCCGATTGCCAATTCCAACCTAATCGAACCCCAAAATCACATCTCCCCAAATCCTTCCGTGACCCAGACCCAAACGAAACGCGTCCAGGAAGCCAATCAGAGCCTGTCCCATCCTTCCGGTTTCAGAGAGTGCATGGACCCCATTGAAATGCCAAGGTCCTGCTCGAACCTAACCGAAAGGAGGGAGTATCCTTTTTCCTGGCGCGCTTCCCAGGCTACGTGGGCTAGCCGATCACCTCCTGGCTCCCTCCAGGTCGTGGCCAAGTGGTCCACGTGGGAGGGGGCGGATGATCACCGCTATAAATGCTACCAACCGCCGTTCTCCAGGAACACAAAACGTCGAGCTGGGCCGGGTAGCGTGGCTGGAGCGGAAACGAGCGAGTACTGGCCATCCAGCAGCGACTCGACAAGGGGAAACACACGCTTTCGAGGATCGAACCGAGCACAGAGAGAAAAAGAGAGAAAGGAATCATGAGGGGATTGGTGAGTCCTGTTTGCTCTCGTGGCTTCGAGTGCAGCTCGGATAGATCGACGTGGCGAACAAAGGAAAGTGAAAGGTTAGGGTAGATCGGGTCACCGCGGAGGCCCACGCGAACTGATCGATACCATTCGTGGTATCGCGGACACGCGTTCAGTATGGAAATTCAGTACACATGGTCCGAAATTTTTGGATCTCGATCGGCTGAAGTTGGAATTTCATTTGAACACGATGTTTAGCTGAATTGTAGTTTCTTTCCTCTTTTCGATAGTACGTAACGAATGTACGAATAGTAAGAGCAACTTCTGTTTCAGTTTTTTGCAATTGCAAATTTTCAGTTTTCGTTTTTACGCGATAAATAAGGTTACGACGTTTGTTGAAAATATTGTGATCTTTGCAGTTGTAAATTTTTATTTCCTTTTCATTTCATGTATAACAGAATTAAAGTGTATTTCTTCTTTGAAATAACATGCTAGATTTGCATTTTAATTTTTGATAAATGTAAATTACAATTTTTCGTTTTATAATAAATTTGCATTTCAAGTTTCTGTAACAATAAATTTATGCTATTCCATCTCAAAAATGAAGTTACAATAATTTCCTTTTTAACAGTATATACTAGCTCTGCATTCCAATTTTCTATTAGCATAAATTTGAACCGCAATTAAGAACCAAACAAAACAACGCCTAATTTCAATTCTTGCCCAAAGCAATGCTTCAACAATACAATCACATTCGAATAAACAACATGAAATTTTCTAGAAATCACCAAATTTTAAAAATGAATCAATTTGAACATCAAAATGAACATCAATTTCAGTCCATTCTCTGTTCCGAAAACTCCTAACATCGATTAGTTTCCTTTCAGATCATTTTATTCGTCGCGATTGCAAGCTGTAAGGCTGGTTTCCTCGGTTCACCCTCTTTCGGTGAGCCTCCGGTGCAATTCCAGCGCGCACCGCAGAAAATTCCGCTAGCTCCACCCGCCCCGGTTGGGCAAGATGGAAACGTGATTGACACACCGGAAGTGGCACAGGCGAAGGCCGCACACTTCGCGGAATTCGCGAGAGCAGCGGCCAGAGCGGCTGAAGAGAGCAAAAATCAGCCCCAATCGCCTGAATACAACCAGCTACCGGTTCAGTCTTACAATTTCCCCTCTGCGCAACCCACGTCTGCCACATACATCAGGCAACCTAATTACCAACCCTCTGCGCCGGTGTACCATCAACCCGCTCCAGGTGAAACTTTTCGTTTTTATTTTTGCGAATTTTCCTTTCGAGGTATTTAAATATTGCCTAATTATTGGGATTTACGAAGACATTCGTAATATTCATTCGAACCACTGTGTATTGCATAGTACGCGGAGATTTTTGGGAAACACGTTGGTAATTTTCAGAATTTAAGAAGTGTAAATTGCAGTCAACCCATGTAATCTTGTCTCTAAATTGAGAAAAAGATCAGTGACTGATTAAACGTTCACACAGACACAACGTTGGCTAAAATTTATAATTGATATTTTAAATTCTACTTAGGCAAAATTTTCATCGAAAATTTCGAGTAATATGAAAAAAAGGAGAAAACAGATTTATCACTATTTGTCAGAATTTTTCACAATTCTCGTCAATGTTCCGAAAAGGAGTTCTAACTCAGTCGTCCACATTGCTTATTGCACCAATAATGACAAATATTTATCGATCAAGCTCACAAAGACAATTTACAAATGCATTTAATAATCTCTACAATATCTTACACAACTCTCGTCAACCTTGAAAGATAAAACGATATTTCGAAAACGCCAGTATCATAAGTACACACGCTCAACGACATAAAAATATCCAGTTCCAGCGGCCGCTTACAATCAACCGAATCCGGCCTCGTATCAGCCGCAGTACACCGGAAACACGAATCTCATTAGCCAGCAAAGTTACGCGGCGTCGGTGAAACCAACCCCTTTCGTGCCAGCTCCTCTCGCTGAGGATGGAACGGTAATCGATACACCGGAAGTGGCTGCTCTAAAGGCCGCCAGGCTGGCGGAGCTGGCCGAGGCCGAAGCCAGGGCGTACAAGTTCGCGCAAGAATTCAAACCGGAAGTCCAAGGCCAAGGTACGTTTGCACGCGTCCACACCGCTTGAGATCGATCGAGATTTCGAGATATGCGAAATAATTTTGTAGTTGAATTTTTGCACGAATTAAATTTCAAGGTTTGCGCAAGATTTGAATCTCTTTTTCGTTTTGATTTGTTGAAAATTCGAGATCAATACTCATCTTTGGCAAATTTTAATCTTAACTTTTCAATTTAATTAATTTCGAAGATTACTTGAAACTTTGAGAACATCTATGTTGCAATTTTAGTGCTGATTTTTGTAAAATACTTGGGTGAATGTAATTTATTGTCACTTTAATTCCATAACTTTAGTTCGTTGATTAATATTGGATTAAGGGGAGTAAGATTTTAATTCATATTTTAATATTCGTTTGTTGTGTTGTGCGTAGTAATTCGTCTGGGAATGTCATAACATTTGTTTTAATATGCATACCTTAGTGGACCTTTTTATCAGTTATGCAAGACAAGCTGTTGCGTAATATTATTGGATAATATCGGGAGGTTTTAGGAATTGCGTCAAATACGAAGCATGGTTACTTTTACATTGCATAAATAATTAGTAAAAATTGCTGAAGAATGTTTTTGTCATTTGAAGCATAAGAATTTCATTCGAGTCAAAACTGTTATTGAAAATATTCATTTTCGAAATACAATTTTCCATTACACACGGAAAAACAAGAATTAATAGAAATTTTGAATTTATTAAAGAATTTTCAATATAATAATAAATTATTACGTTTAAGTATTAAGTAACCATTATCATATTTCAAATCTGAATATTTTCATTTCTATTATACAGTGTGTAACAAAAGTTCCGGGATTCTGAGTTCAGTAATTTATTACTTAAATGATTGTCTTTCTCAGGTATACTAACTCAGAAATATATTTGTTTAAAATAAGTCAAATGCCTAAACTCTTTAAAATTAAAGAAAAAAAGAAGAAGGTATTATAGTATGTAATTCAAAGGTTTCTGCAATCTGAGTCAAACGAATTTGAGTCTTGTACGAATTTGTTGCACGAATTAAGGAATTTGCACATGTAAAAACATTTGAACTCTAGCCAACTATAAATACATCTGTAACACCCTGATGCAACGTAAGAGTCAAGCTGTTGCTCAACGACATAATCGGTCGATTGTTCCTGTGAGAATGGTCTGCACGGCCGCTAATCGTTACGAATATAATCGTGACCCAGCTATTTCTCGTTGGGCATATTAAAAAACGATGTTGTAGGTCACGAAGGAGTTTCACTCTAGTTATTCGTGCACCATACTTAGTGACTTCGATGTTGCAAATGGACGTAAATACAATCTGCCTATTTAAAGACAAAAAAAAAAAATAAAATAAAAATAGAAATTTGAATTGAATTTTTTGGAGAAAAGCAGACTTCCTTTTTCTTCTGGAAAATTAATTTTGAGCTGATTGACATTCTTGCACTATCTGTGAAATTGAAATTTTGTAAATTGAAATATATTGCATTTTTTTAATTTTGTACGAAGTAAGAGAATTTGTTACATTTGTTAAAATATAAAATTCGTTTGATCTTTAATTTGTTTCTAATTAGTTGAGAAGTCTTTTCTAGTGAAATGATGTACTTTATCATGACGTCTTTAAATGGACACATAGTACCTTGATAACAGGAGAGTGGCGTTGGCAGAAACCGGTTCATTCTATTGCCACTCCCCAAAAATTAACTCTAATCGTTTCGACACCTTTCTTGCTACCATCAAGTTACGCTATCAGATCGAAACTAATTGAATCACTCCTGTTAATATGTTGTTGGAAGGTTTTAAGCATTAATCTCTCGTTATCCCTTAAAGTCATGTAACCACCAATACAATATTAAAAAAGAAATACACTCTTTTCAGTAAAATATTCCACAAATATTTTGGTAACAACAGAAACAAAAAACAAATAAAGCTACAAATACCTATATAATTCGCCATTTGTAAATCTATCTTTTAAATTCATCAGACATAACTTAATACTCGAAATGTTATTTTTGCAAATTTACCATCTAAAAGACTCTGAACCAATCTATACACACACTAGAAAAAGTAAATAGAATTTTTCCTAAAAATCTACAAAATATGATAAACTAAAAAATTTCTAAATCCACAAAATTTGTTAAATTCTTTGTCAAATTAAATATCTACAAAATATGATGAACTGAGAAATTTCTAAATCCACAAAATTTGTTAAATTCTTTGTTAAATTAAAGATCTACAAAATATGATAAACTGAGAAATTCCTAAATCCACAAAATTTGTTAAAGATCTACAAAATATGATGAACTGAAAAATTTCTAAATCCACAAAATTTGTTAAATTCTTTGTTAAATTAAAGATCTACAAAATATGATAAACTGAGAAATTTCTAAATCCACAAAATTTGTTAAATTCTTCGTTAAATTACAAATCTACAAAATATGATAAACAGAAAAATTTCTAAATCTACAAAATATCCTGAACGATTTTTTAAAATTTTATATCTAGAAAATATGACGTACAATTGCATTATTTATTGATTTATTTCAGTCTATGGTAGCCCACAAGCCGCTTCAGCCCCATACAACCCTGGTCAATACAACGCACCCGTGGCGCAAGTGTTTCCAGGAGCAGCTCCGTCGTATCCTGCACCTCACCCATCATTTGCCAAGCCTGCCTTCCAACCCCAGAACTACCAGTCGCAGCAATTAGTCGGAGCTTACTAAATTCGGATAATTCACCACGCATCTGTACATAATCTAGGCCAATAAATTGTTTCCCTCCATCCTTTTTTTTAAATCTCGTTGTTTATTTATTTCACATCCTTCACTTCTCCATTTACGATTTTCGCCACTATTTTCATTCAATGATAGAAACAAACGAAAAACTTAGCAACAGTGTAATCTTTAATTTTAAAACTGTTGAAAATTTTTAGTTTAGAATTCTGGAAGATAATCAGTTTGAAAGTTTCACAGACAAAGATACTTTTTTATGAGGATAATTAAACGACAAAGTTTTTTAGTTCAGAATTTTAGAAGATAGTCTTGAAAATGATAGTTTTTAAGTGGAAAAATGAACGTTGAAATATTTGTAATTTGTAATTTTGGAAAATAATCAGTTTCAAGGTTGGATGTTTTTCAAGTGGAAAATTAAATATCGAAATTACTGTATAACAAATTAGAACTTCAGAGAATAATCGGTTTTGAAGATAGACACATTTTAGATAGAAAATTAAATTCTAATCTCGCTTCTTCATTTTCTAAGGGATGAAAATTTTGAATGGAAACAGGTACTCCGTTTCTCGAATGTTAATGAAATTTGTAACGTTCGTTTGCGACAATGTTAGAATGCAAATTGCGCGGTGAGTGGTTATTTAGGTTAACGCGCAATTCTCGATCGAGGAGCCACCGAATCGATGCACCGAATAAAATACAAACGAGTATTATTTAGTCGTAAGAAACCACGGGTTAACCTACATTCGATTTCGCTGTGCATTGCGGTCAACGTAATCCAAGAATTAGAAAAATCTCTTCACCTCGATCGAGTTAGCGAGAACACCTCTTCATGGCCAATCAAGCATTGATTTTCGTCACTGATACACTCATTGTCGGTAAAAAATGGACACAGAGAAAGAATATTAAAATATTTAATTGAAATAATTAAGTTTTAAATGATAAAGAGTTATTTTGTTTATTGACAAAGGTTTGTTTGAAAATCAAAATTTTGTTTTTATTATTTTAACATTTAAATAATAAAGAGTTTATTGTATTATTTCATTTCTAAAAGAAATTATTTCTCTAAATTGTAATTATTGCAAGTTGTTCTAATTTATTAGTTCAAGTGCCAGAAAAGAAGAATGGTAACTTTTTCTCATAAAATTAACTGAAATTAATAGACTGATAGGGAATATCTCTTGCAGAAAATATTTATAATCAAAGTGAACTAAGGATTCTCGACTGAAGTATTTTTTATATTATAAGTTTTAATAATATTCATACACGAGAAGTCTTTCTATTCGTTCCGAGGAAAACGAAATAATAAAACTTTCCAAGTTTCGCAATTTTAATCAAAGCGACAATCAGAGAGAAGAAAAAAGAAATACATTGGAGGATTGCTAGTTTGTTGAGAAAAGTTTCAGGGTTTCCAGTAGACATTATCGTAACGATTGTCTCGTGCGATTGCGGTCTCTGCACGCGCGATTTCACGCGAAAGGAAGCGGTCGCGCAAAAACGTTTCGCCATTAGAATAGAAAAAAAGATGTAGCTGGTTGATCAGCGACAATGTACATTTTTCGTGGGTCTAGGGGCTTCTCTAGTTTTCCATCTATTTTATCATCCACTTGTCTCCATGAAACAAATTCACCACAGAAAAATTGTGTACCTTTCCATTTTCTGTTTTAAATGATTTTACTTTGTAAATAATAATTTATTCAAATACGTTAGAAATATATCAATACAGACGTGGAAAGTAATTGAACAGAAGTGGAATAGAGAATCAGAAAAAAATTCTTTATAAAATAATGAAGATTCAAGTTCAATTTACTTGTAACAATTAAGGAAAATACTTACTTAATTTGCTTGAGATAATTAAGGAAAATACTTATTTAATTTACTTGAGATAATTAAGGAAAATACTTGCTTAATTTGCTTGAGATAATTAAGGAAAGTACTTGTTTATTTTCTTTGTAATAAATGAAATTTATCATATTTAATTTACTTGTAATAGTTAATCCATTTCAGACCATTGTTAAAATAAAATAAAGAAATATCTTTTTTCAATAACTGCTTCGAGTTAGCGATAATTGGAGAATTACGTGAGATGCGAGGGATCAGATAACTTCACGAAGGAACGACTGGAAATCTTATCGAAGTAAGATTACCTTTTAGTTACGAGGTGCCCTCGGTCCGTAATTCTTGCGACATAGGTCGCACAGTTGTACGAAACACGTGAGAAGAAACGAACAGAG